GAAAATGGCTGAGTTATCGAAATATTTAAGAGATTAACATTAAAACTAGTCGGAAGAATATGCGCGTAGTTATTAAGCAATGTTTTGTCGTAATAGGTTATACAAACCAGACAATATTAAAAGACGATGGTACATATAAGTTGTTGCTATACAAATGGCTTGGTTAAATAAGTTAATCAAAAGGCCTAACCAAATTAAATATGAGAGAACTCTAATGTATTTAGAGGCGAAATAGAGAATTATATTTGTCACTAGGTATTGTAAAACACCGACGATATTTGGAAGTATTTCCGAATACAATATGTGTTTTTTGGATTTTGCAGTGCATTCCAATTCGGTTCCTTAGAGCAAAATGAGATTCTAGGTATTCCTCTAATCAAGAATAAATTTTACGACTTTCGCAACCCAGCTTATCGTCTTCCCTTTAAAATAGTCTTAAATTAAGACGAATTTCATGGAAATTTTTAGAAAAAGCCAGAGACCAGACGATATCTTGTGGCTTTTGGTTGCACTTATAAAAGTTCACCGAGAGAGATCTACTAATATATCCTCAAAATCGATCGAATTTTTTATAGGTCTGGAGAATCTGGTGAATTCCACTTAAAATGATTAAAATGTGTCATCCGATCTTGTAAAATTGAGGATCAGAAGATAATAACAAATGGTTACCTATCTCGGTATTTTTATTTCCATAGAGTAATGTCTCATTTTTCGCTCCAAAATGAAATTTTCCAGTTTAGCGCCAGTTTCGGGCTCGAAGCATCCGGTAGTAATTGATGTCATCCAAATTTTCTGGGGGGAAAGACAGTCGCATTGGTTTATGGTTCAAGCGCATTCTGCCTGGTGAGATACCATTTTACAGTCACATTTTTTCGAATTTCTAAACTTTGGGCAACAATACCGTGTTTTTGTTCCTGCAACTGTCTTTGCGTTCATATTACGTGGTATACAATTAGTTCTTCCTAAAAAATTAGGCTACCGAAATATCTCACAGGCTTTCGTCTATGTTTTCACTCGTCGTGCGTTCACATACACCAGTTTATAACTTTACATAGATTCATCTTTACAAACTCTAAATCTGTTTGTCTCTTCATCCTAGCTTTGGGATTCTACCACTCTCTTATTATAATTTGCGGAAAAGTTTAAATTCCAATATCTACCACTTTCCAGCAACCTATACCAAGTCTAATCTACATTCGGCATTTTGACTACCAACTTCTTACATATTGCCATACCAAAAAACATTGTCTATCAATACAGGCAAAGGATTCGGTTTATTATATTTTCAAGCGAGCTTCGTTGTATCGTATAGTTACCCCGTATTTTCTCACAGCTTTTTGCGCTATCCCATACTAAACCTACCACATTTACGTTTATCAGCTTTACTGTTCCCGCTTCTGCTTCCTGTGACGTCACTGGTGTAGGTTAAGCATTGAATTCTAAGGCAAAACTAGCTTTCTTTTACTGAATCTCGGTAAACAGTCACTTATGCTCTGTCTGACTCAGCGGGACAGTACGAAATCGAAAAGGCGGGGACACGTCATTGCCAATGTGTTATCTCTGCCTACGCTCCTACTGATTGCAGCTCCGATGAGGTAGACGACGAATTTTACAGAAAGCTTTCTAACCTTCTGATGTAGTAATACTGGCTCGTGACTTCAATTCCCTGGTCGGTAGACTAAGAGAAAAGAAGACACCCGGGTGGTGTTGCAGCAGACAGACAGATAAAACGCAGATCTTCGAAAGTAAGTACATCAGTTCAGGTTGCCATACCACATTAACACAGAGACGCATCTGTCAGTTCAAATCCAAGAGTGATAGCGATAGTAGAAGTATTAGCAGTAATGGAGAAGATTAGGGAGCGAAGATATGATTCGAGAAGTATAATTCAGTAAGATAAATTTAGGAGTAAAGTAGAGATTATGAGGAATGCAGAAGCTTAGAATTTCATAGAACACAAAGAGTAAATGCACCTGCGCCATTGCAAACGATTCTGAGCCATTTCGTTCAAGGTCTAAACATTGGTGACTTTCGTCTCGCGGACCCCAACCAGGTAGCCTACATCTACCAACATGACTCAGTCCACTTGTCAGTGACTTCATGGATTTCTGCCATGTTTTGGTTTGGCTGCAACTAGCTTTCTTCC